TTCATGAAATCTTATAATAATATTAAATCTTTTCGAACTTTCTTTAATTAAACTTCACTTCTAGCAACTTTTAGAAGATTATGTAAACATAAAGTTAACAAGAAAAATATATTAAAATTAATTTTAAAATAGAAATAAGTATTAAAAAACAAATTATTTATTTAGACAGGAAATTAATATCTGAAATTTAAAAATTATTACAATAACTGAAAACACTAATATACTTACAGCTGTATTAAGCGTGTTTGAAACTAAACTTTTTTTAAAAAATTAAGTTTTAAAGACATTTAAAGATAATTTGATATTTATTTCAAAATTATTTAAGTTTTTAATTATATTTTATTTAAAATTCTGAAAAAGACGTAAATTTTAATTAAATGTTTTAAAGTTACTTGAATTTAAAAAAAAATTGTACTCTCTAAATCTGAATATGTGAAAATTCACATATTTGTACGTTATAAGTCGTCTTCTCGATCAATAAGTGCATATACACTTATAATAAGTGAAATTTCACTCAGAATAAGTGAAAAATTCACTTATTTATAAGTGTATATACACTTATTGATCGAGAGGACGACTTATAACGTACAATAAGTGAAATTTCACATATTCAGATTTAGAGAGTAAGAATTATAAAACTAATTGAATTTTGTAAAATTGAATTGATAATAATAAAATTGGATAAAGAATTTAATTAGAAATTAAAAAAAGAATGATTTTTTACAAAACTTCAATATATATATAATAATAGTGGATTTAAAACATCTGCATCAAAGGGTACAAATTGCATCTAAAATAATTTAATTTCCTAAGAGTTATAATTAATATTTTTATTAATTAATTAATTTGGAAAATTTGTTTGCTGCATTTAACCAAATACAATTTTTGGTTGACCCATTACAAGAATTTGTTTCGTGCAACCAAATCATTTATTTGAATTAAAACAAAAATATTCGACTGTTTCAAGAAGTACATGTGTGAATTTAAAAATGGCAGTCTCACCTGTCTATAGTCGCGTTCGCTTAAAATTCATGATGCAAATCGAAAAAACAAAATTATAAGTGAAGGGTGGCATGACAAAGGGGTCAAGCGCCAAGTTCATGATTTTACAGGAAGCGAAAAAAACACATTTCAAAATTCTCCTGGTCATTTAAGAAAAAACCAAAAAACCGTTTCGACATATATATTATGCTTTACTTTACCAGACAATTTAAAAGTTGGTCTTTTTAAAGTTATGTCAGACGCGCATATTTTCTTCTAACATTAATTATTAAAAAAATACACAAAGAAAAACAGGGAAATTATTTTTTTAATATTGAATTGAATAATAAAATTAAGAAAAGAATAATATTCAAATTTTTTTAAATAACACAAAGAATATGCAACTATTCCTATAAATAAATATAAAATTTTAACAAATATTTAAGGATATTAAAAATAAACCAAAATTTTAACATTTTTAAACTATTCATAATAATTTTGTTTTTGTTTTTTGCTTTTCAATTTAACTGCATTCAGAGAAAAAATAAAATATTAATTCGTTTTTCTACTGAACTTGGCATAGGAAACGTAACCCTCTTGAATTTCAATAAAAAAAATGTTATCAATTAAGCAAAAAAGAGTGTTTTTCAATATTTTATTCAATATTATAAATAATATTATTTTAAATCACAGATAAAATTAATCTAAATAATTAAATATCTGCAATAATTCAAATCTTAATAAAGTAAATGTTATTTTAATCACATTACAAAATTACGAAATGTTAAAACATTTATATAGCCAAGTATGTAAGGTTGAAAACAGGTGTATAAACCAAATAAAATATGTAGGTAATAAATTTGCTTTAAATAAAGTATCTTTAATTATTGAAGATTTTCATTTATTAAAGTTTCCGCCGAATGACTTATTAATTGCAATATCAACCCGTATGTGAAAATAGTTATTTATTTATTTATTGGTTTTATATAAAGCAATTTGATATTCTACTTTTTATGTGTTCAGGGTAAAGTGCTGCACATTTTAAAAATTGCATCTAAATTCAATAATTGTTATTAATACTTTCAAGTCGCTATTCGATTTTACAATATACTGTCATGCACTCTTTATTTTTAACATATACGTGTAACGGAGAAATACCTGCGATCAATATTCAATTAATCAGAATAAAAATGCGAATGCTCTACATTGGGCCATCTATCCCAAAGGAGTGGGATAGATGCCTCAAGGCATTATTCAATATTTATTGTTTTCTATTTATAATCAAATATTTTTTTAACTTTCCAACATTAATAAAAATGGGTTTTTATTTTTCAAAATTGCAAAGTTTTTAAATTATTGAAAAATAAGTTAGTGAAATGTATCTTCTTTAATTATTTCTTTGGTAATATAGCGATTTGCGGCACACCCTATAGAAAAAATGGCGCTAATGTATTAACATGGGGGTGGAGGGGGGTCAAAATATATGTATGGCCCCTTAGTCCAATATCAGGGTGTTCACAAGTTTCAGTTTATCAATTTCGCCGATATTACAATTATGTTTCCTGACAAAATTCTTTTTACAGGAAAATGACCATGATTTCTCCGAAATTTAATAAAATAATTAAATTTCTTAAAAGAATTATTGTATAATTTAAAAAGCTAATTAATTTTTTGATGATTTTTATTTAAAAATTTTGAATATAATTTTTTTCTTCAAAATGTTAAATATAATTTTAAAATGTTATTATTTTTTGTATGTATTTGAATTTTTAGAAACATGTAATAAAAAAATTGAAAATATTGAATATAAAAATTTAATTTTAAAAAACTAGAAGCTAATTTTCAATAATTTTTATTTGTAAATTAACATTTAAAGATTTTTTATTAAAATTTTTGATAATTCAATTACCTATTTTCAAAATCAGTTTAAAATTCTTCATAAGTTGACTTTCAAAAATTGTAACAAAATACTAGAAAAAAATTGATTATTTTCAATTAAATTTTACAAAAGTTCAATTATTTAAAAAGATTTTTGTTGTAGATATGTTTAAAATTATTTTAAAAATTGATTAAAAAATAATTTTTGAAAGATTTGTTTATAAATGTGTATTTTCTTGCAATATTTGGAAGAAATGTCTAAAAATGAAAAAAGAGAAATAAATTTTTAAATTATAGTTTTGATAGAAGCGTAAAGAATTTAATTTTCAATATTATAAACAATTTAAAATTGCATTTGAATAAAAATTACAATTTTATGCTTATTAGAAACAGTTTAGTTAACATAACCTAAAATGTAACAAATCTTGTTTATTGATCAAAAATTCAGTTTTTTTCAAATGCAACTAAAGTTTTTTAATATTGTATAAAATGTTGCAAATAAAATTCTCCACTCTTTTACCAAAACAAATTTAAAAAAGATGTTTTTCGTTTTTTAAAAAATGAAATTATATTGAACTAACTTTTGTTAAAAATTATAAACAAAAATATAAAACAATGTATTTAAAGAAACTATTTAGATTTTTTCGTTTTTAGTAGAATTGATTTTTATAATAAGATGTAAATGTTTTCTGAATTTTGTAATTGTAGTATGCAATGTTAATAGCATCAATAGAATATTGATTTTTATTATTATAAGTTGAGTAATTTCTGAGGTTTGGAGAATCGGCCATCTATCCGTAGTTTACCTGAAAGTTAATTCAAAGAAAATTTATTCTACTTTTGATTTTTTCAAAGTAAATGTTATATTTATTCTGTCATTAGGTATTTTTTACTCAATTCAATTTTAAAATGAATCTTTTTTTGCTTAATATATTGTATTAAAGTAAAATCTAATATATATTTCTGCAATACACTGCAAAAAGAAGTATCTTATTTAAGATGTTTTGGTAGTCATTTCTAAGATGTTATTGTAGTCACTTTTTAGTCATTTAAAATATCTTAATTTAAGATGTTTAAAGTATTTTCGTACACATTTTCATCATATTTTTTGGGAAAAAAGTTTTGAGGTTAACTATGGGCTTATATGTAAGACATTTTATGCATCTTAGTTTTTAGTAACTTAAATTTTTTTCGCATCTTACAATTCACAAGTATCTTATCGCTAAACATCTTATTGAGACAGAAACATCTTAATTAAGATACTTTAAAAAACTTACAGATGTATCTTACTTTTTTAAGACAGAAGAAATATCTAAGACGTATAAAACATCTTAAAAATCAGTAAGATACTTTAGAAAACATCTTATTTTAAGATATCAAATAAGACACTTATTTTTGCAGTGTAAAATATAATTATTGTATTCTTATTTTTGATTGAAGTTTTCTTAAAATATTTCAGGATTAAATTTTGATAAGAAAAGTTAATATTGTAAAATCTATAAAATGGTTTAAAATGAAAGTTTTTAAAGCTGTGAAAGTAATAAAAATGCAAATAGTTTTGTTTAAATTATATAGAATATATTATACACTTGTAAATATTTAAATACATATATACATATAATACAGTCTCCATCACTGTTCATCAGTCATATAAAATTATAAAAAATTGCCTACCTAATATCATGGTGCTAAATTCTTAATATTCTTAAAGCAATGAAATTGTAATTTTTAAATCGACACGATTTATAGTAAAGATTACAACCGAAAAAATGGAATCGTTGCTCATTTATAATACATACATACATACATACATACATGGATATGCATGTATAAAAATACTTTTGTAGCAGTTTTAGAACCTTCTTTATCAGTTTTAAAGGTTCTTGATTTTTTACACGCGGTAAAATTTAAGTCTTTGAGAAGAAAATCACTTACTTAATTTAAATCGTTCATTCATTTCGGAATGTATTGTTCGTATTGTTTTAATTTTTTAATTACGAAAAAGCAGCACTTTCAGTCATTTTTTAACACTTGCACAATTTTTTTTAACAATTTCTCAACTACACTTCTATTGTGAATAAAGAACACTTTTGTGGTTGGAAATGAGATTTCGTGTCCTAACAGTTGTTTGTTCTATTTTAATATTTTTATATCACTAAAAAATAAGGGAAAATACAACGACTCCAAAGTTATATGTACAAGAGTGATGTATGTGAACCGCAAATGCGATTTATAACAGTATATATAGAATAAATTGTAAATAAATTTGTTCAGTCTGATGAGACTTTCATTTTAGAGTTTGAGAGAAAAAAATGAAAGATTAGTGAAAATTGTAATGAGCTTCTATTGCTATTATTGGGCTCTGAGCCAATAGCGGCGATAGATTTGTTTGGTACATGAGCTGTGTATTACGAAGACGATCATTAAAATGGTTAGGCCTCTAACTCGAGCAAATTTTAACGGTAACGTAGGAAGGCATGCAACTGTAAAAACAAGCTAGACAAGGTAGGCTTGTCCGGATTGCTGTTGCTGCTGTTGTTGTTGTTGTTGTTGCTGTTGTTGCTGTGCACTGTGCTGTCTCCAGACACTTTTCTCGAGAGTCGAGTAATCCGAGTCGATGGATGAGTAAATGTGCTCCGAGAGGGGCCTTCTGCTGCTTTCGTTGAAACTGTTTAATGCAGGGTCTTGGTATGCGTGGTTCATTGTGAGCCGAGTGCTCGGGTTTATCGAGCTCTCTATGGTGGCAGTGGACTCGGTCCCATTGTCGTGGCCGAAGAATGCGGTGCTGGAGTAGGCTGGCGGGGCGCGCAGCAGTTCCGGCGAACCCTGGAACAACTGGTGGTGGCCGGAAGTGCTGCCAGGTACTTGGAGCGTTGGGGCGCACTCTTTTCCTGTCCTACTTTCGAGGGTGTAAGTGTTGACGTTGTTTCTGTACAAGGAGGGCCTGGTCCTGTCGTGAGGCAGCATCATGTACCGCAGCTTCTCCCAGAACCTCTTCTCGCCCCAGTTTATGACCGTCGCGGAGCGTAAGTAGGGCCTGAGCTCGGGGTCCGTCTCCGCCTTTGAAATGATGATCCCAGCTTGAATGACGATCAGCTGACTCATGCGCCCGCGCAGGGACTCGTGGATGGCCTCCCGGAACTCGAAGCAGGCCCACTCGGACTGCAGGAAGTTCCTGGTGAGGACGATGACCACCCTTCGAGAGGCCTCGGCCGCCTCCAGGATGACGGAGCTTGGGGCTCGCAGACAGGGCAGGTCCCGGTGATGCAGGCAGAGCCTGAGGCCCCTCAGCCCGTGCTCCAGCTCGTCCACCAGCGAGTGCAGCACAAAGTCCTCGTCCTTGGGGCTGTAGCAGAAGTAGCCGTCGTAGAGGCGGTCCTTGCTGTCGTTGGCGGCGCCACTGGCGCACAGTCTCACGCCGTACTTGGAGTAGGCCCACGTGCGCACGGGCTCCCGGAAGATGAAGGCGAGCACGGTCAGCACCAGCACCAGGAGCACGGCCGACAGCGTGGCGGCCACCATCGGCAGGTAGTCTGAAATCATTATGTGGTCGATGACGCCGCCCTGGGTGAAGTAGTCCGAGCAGACCGTCTCGTTGACGCTGAGCTGCCGGTGGTAGGGCGGACTCGCCTCGTTGTTGTAGCACCAGACCTCCTTCACGTCCACCACCTTGTGGGCATTGTCCGACACCCAGGAGGTGAGCTCCTGCAGGAACTTGCAGCGGCAGGACCAGGGGTTGTTCCCCAACCACAGTTGAACTAATCGGGTATTTAAAGTAGCTTGCCAAACTGAAAATATCACTAACCTATTGCCGTCCAGGTGCAGAATTTCCAAGGACCGCAACGGCAGAAGAGTCAAATTCCCTATGTGACTTATGATATTGTTCTGCAGGTACAGTTCCCGCAGGTGGGACAAGTGTTCGAATTCAAATCCTTTCAGTTCGTGAATTTTATTCTCCTCGAGGTGGAGAATTTGCAAATTATTTAAACCGTTGAACGTTCTGTTTTGAATCGACTCGATCTGACTCGCGTTCACGAAGAGCACTCGCATGTTCTTGCGTCCGATGAACACGTGGTTCTGCAACTCGCGGAAGTTGTTGCCGTCCAAGTAGACCTCCGTCGAGTCCATGGGCACCCGCCGCGGAATTTCGCGAGTTCCGAGACCCGAACAGTCGACCACGTTCGTATTCCAAGTCCGGTCGTGGTAGCACTTGCAATCCAGCGGGCACGTCATTTCACAGTCACACGCGTCGTACTCACAGCAATGGCACAACTCGAAGCAGTGCGTCTCGTAGCGACACAGGAACTGCTCGGGCCGCGCCAGGTACGCGGGGATGACCGCCGACCCCCGCGGCCCCGACACGCGGCACATGGCGTTGTCGAGGTCCATCACGCGCGGGTACTGGCGCAGCGCGCTGATGTTGTTGATCACCGGCAGCCAGTCCATCGAGCAGTTGCAGTTGAAGGGGTTGCCGCCGATGTAGAACTCGGGCAGCAACTTGCTCTCGGGCACGGGTGTCAGGCGGAGCGCGGTCAGTTCCATGGTCTCGATCATGTTCGCGTACATGTCGACTCGCGTGAGGTTCACTTTGCCGGTGAATGTGTTGGGCCGCACCACACTGATGTAGTTGTTGTTTATGAACAAGAGTTCCACGCTGTCGGGCACTGAGAGAGGTGCCAACTCCGTGATCCGGTTATGACTGGCGTCCAGCGTTCTCACTCGTAAATCAGGAATTTCGTAATAGTTTCCGAGGCTCTCGATAAAATTCCCATGAATGTCTAACCACTTTAAGTTGCTCGGAATGAATGCATAATCGAACCACTCGATGTGATTTTCCGAGAGGTTCAATAATAACAGACTTGCAATGCTGGTGAAAACACCGTTAATATCGGAAAGAAAATTACCGTCCAGTCGAATGGCCTCCAAGCGACCGTTCCTTTCGAAAGTGTCTCGCTCCACATGCTGCACTTTGTTCCTGGCGAGGTTTAAGATCTGCAGGTTCGGCAGGTCCCAGAGCATGCCTCGGGTCAGGTTGCCCACCTCGTTGCCGATGAGTCTGAGTCCTGTTAATTGATTCAAATTCCGAAAAGAGCCGTTGTGGAACTCGGTGATTTTGTTCTCGCCGAGGTCGAGAGTCTTCAGGAAAGCGAGGTCCCGCAGTGCTTCCGGTATGGCGGTGAGTTCGTTGCTGCTGAGGTCGAGTTCCTTCAGGTCGGAGCAGTTGCGAAACGCGAATGGGTCAATGGAAACAATGGAGTTTTCGGAGAGTGTCAGTCGATTCAAAACAAAGAGACCGTTGAAGAGCTGTGGTCCGATGGAGTGAATATTATTCTCCGTGAGCTCCAAGGTGTGTAAATTATAAAGCGGTAAAAATGCATTGCTTTCAATGAAACTAATGGAATTGTTTCTAAGATCGAGAATCTGCAGAAAAAAGAGATCCTTGAACATTTTGGCGTCGATTTTCGTCAACATGTTGTAGGACAAATCGAGAACAATGAGGCGAATTAGATTTAGAAAGGTCAGCTCGTCAACCTGGTCGCTGGTGAGTCGGTTACCAGCGAGGTTGAGCACCAAGAGTTGCTCGAGCCGAGAAAAAGTGCCCCGGGGGAGGTTTCGCAACTGGTTGTACTGGAGGTAGATTTCGCGAAGGTCCCTGGTACCGACGAAAATTCCCTCCGTCAGGGAATGTAGATCGTTGAAGCTGGCGTTGAAAATCCTGAGGTTCGTGAGGCCGGTGAGGGCATCGCTCGCAATTTCGTCGATCGCGTTGTGCTGCAGGTACAACTCCTGCAACTGCCGCAGCCCAGAGAGCGGACTCTCTTCACGTAACGTTCGAATCTGATTGCGTGCGAGATCTAGAATACGAATGTCGGCACGACAGTCCGCCCTGTTCGCGCGAGTTTCCGCCAGCCCCACGTCCTCCACGGCATGGAACTGATTTCCCGTTAGATTGAGAGTCTGCAAATTGCCCAGGCCGCAAATGACGTTCGTTGGAAGCGCTCGAATGTTGCTGTAGACGAACTCGAGAGTCTGCAGCTCGCGCAAACCCACGAGAGCCTCGGAGGCCACCTTGAGAGTGCGTTCTGCATTCCACTCGTGGTTCAGGGTCTGCACCTTGAGCCGCTTCAGGTCGGCGAGCGGCTGGAAGGCGGTGTTGGGGATCTCCAGGATCTTGCAGTCGCTGATGACGAGCTCGTCGATGCCGTTGAGTCGATTCCAGCTCTCGCCCGCGATCGTGCTCTCCGCGTAGTGTCCGCTGCTACAGCTGAGCTGCAGCTTGAGGGCGCCGTCCAGCGAGGGGAAGAGGCCCGCGACACTGGACGGGTCGAGAGCACGCAGAGTGCAGATCGCCGAGTGCGTATCGTTGCCGTCCTGCGACCAGTGGCACGAACCCTGCGCACTGTCCAGCGTTATTGTTACGAAGCAAAACAAACCCAGAAGCACTCTGCAGCATTTCAACACTAGCACCCATTTCACAGCCATTTCACTGCACTACACCCAGTGCAGTGTGATATAATGGTGATAGGAATCGCACTGACACTTTGTATCACGTAGGTGTGGGCCAATCCATATTTCCTCCCTCGAAATGACTCATCTACCGCACTCTTCACTCGGACGAACTGCACTTGCGACGACGACGACGACGACCACGAATATTCCCCGCGATTGTTTCACTTTGCAGCACGGAATTGAGCACATCAACCTTTGTGGAGCGACCGAGCGACGAGAAAATTACTCGAGAGCAAACTCGTTCTTGCTTTACTCGTTCGAATCGCACTGAACGCGCATCGAGAACGAACACACTGTAGAGCGTGCTACAGCGAAACGAAAGCTGCTTCTGTCTCCGTCTCTCTCACACGCTCGGCGGCGGAGTGGGGACTACTTGCGGCGCGGCCGATGGAGACCGCCACCGACCAGCACCAGACTTTGTTCTTCTATCGTCGAACGTCGGGCACACATATAGAGCAGAAGTAGAATTATATACGAGCACAAAGCAGAGTCTTTCTAACAATCTCCTATACACGGCCTCTCACTATAGAATGCACTATACCTGCCGCCGCCGCTCCCCCCCGCCCCTGCCGACCTTCCGTCCACAAACTCGCTCGCTCTCGTTCTCCCCTCCCTCCGCCCTTTCTCCGCTACTTCTCCGCTATACTGTTCACGCTGCTTGTTCATTTCGTTTAAAAATCTCTCTGACAAGCTGGAGGGTCATTCCAAGTCTACAGGCTGATGTACAGGCTCCCGAAACTGAATCGAACCATAGTTTAGGCCTAGGATTCCAGGCTTCGTTCGATCATTAACAAAAGGTTATTTCTATAGAGACCGCTGGTAACGCTCAGGGGCGTGAAGGGGGCACGCATTCAAGGTTCACAAGGAAAAATGAAACTTTTTGTCCTTTTTGCCTTGCTCTTTTATATGTTATTTTTTTCTCCATTTCTTTGTGCTTCCGTTATGCTTATAAAATTATATTTTACTTCGAATAAAATTTCAAAACTTACAATATCATTCACATCTGAATTTCTATTTTCACCTTTTTTTTCTTTCTATTTTTCTCAATTTTAAAATGATTTTCGTTATTCAAAAAACGTTTCTATTATTGCAATTCAAATTTATTATGAATTTGCAAAATTATTTAATTCTATTTTTAATTTAACTATATACTTTTTACATTTACAGGCGAAAAAAGGTATTATCTGAATATTATTCAATATTAAAAAATTTATTTTATTTAAGAAAAAATCTGACGGACAGTCAAGACAAAAATTAATCCAATGTCATAATTTCGTTTTTTAAAAGAAAGAGACTTCAATTTTAAATTCCTTTTAATAAGAAGGTTAAGAATTTAATTTTCAAAAAAAAAAATTAACATTTTTAGTCAATAAGAAATATTTGCGAAATTTTAAGTTATAAATAAATCGTTTTTATTGACATATGAAAGTTATATTTTTATTCAAGTGCAACTTTAAATTGTTTAAAATGTTGAAAATTAAATTCTTGACGCACAAAATAATGTTAAAATTTGTCTTTTTCCTTAAAAACACTTAAAAATGCGAAATTATATTCTTTTGTCTCGATTGATTGTCAGATTCTTCCTTAGTAAATTAGGTTAATTACATTTCCATGCTTTGTCGAATGATAATAAAAATTTCTATAAATTTACTAATACGAGATTAAAAACCAAAATTATATATTGCATTTTAAAACTGTCCTCACTCATGTTCGACAAATTTCTTTTAAATGAATGAATACGTTCCTTTAAAACGTATAGAATATGAGAATAAATATTTTTTCACCTTTATTTCCCTACAAGCACATAAAATTCTGAGAAGAATACGGTATACCTGAGAAAAGCAGTTTTTGTGCTTTTCAGTTAGGAATTTCTGAATAAACAATTAAAAATTGCTCAACATTTTTTCATGTGCCAAACGAAATAAAAAGAATACATAAAAACTTGTCTAACAATAAATTCAAAAAGCAGTTGGAAAAATTTCTCTATTTATTGAACATTTTAACATTTTCAATAATCTACTTAGAATCTGTATAATAAAGTTTTTGAAACGTCTGATATTTTTGAAACATAGAAAATATTTTTTTTCTCTAATAAAATAAGAAAAATAATTCTTTCAATCCCAGTAAGAAGCAAAAAATTAAAAAGAAATTGAAAATTCTTTTATGAATACTACTCCTGTCCGATTCTTTTGTATCCATTGGGAGCAGCAGAGAAAGGTACAAACTTAATTCCTTTCAATACACATTTAATATCCATGCAGTGGGTATAAAAGAATTGAAAAGAATTCGAGAGTTACACTGGAATTAAAAAAGATTAAAAAAAAGTCGCTGGTGTGAGCAGCTCAACTTAACATAGATTTTCAAGTTAGAAGTATTACACTCCAAGAAAAAAATTCTTTGAAGCACCCAAAAAGTTTTGTTAAATCAACTGTGTATAAATGAATTGCTTTACAGTTAACTAAACGTTTGTTTAATTCAACCAAAGTGAATATTTTTATTTCACTGAACAAAACACTGTATTACGTTAGACACAAATTTTTTTGTTTCTTTAAACAAATAGTTCGTTCTACACAAGAAACAATGTATTTAAATGAAAAATAATATTTATCAAACTTATTTATTTAGTTTAAATTACATTACATTTTTTGATTAATCTTCAGTGACTAATACCCTTTATTATCTTTATTATTAAGTTTTTAATTATTTGAAGTGATTTCAGATATTTTCTCATTGTCAAAAAAATGTTTTATTACATTTATTTACAAATTTCTTCAAAAGTAAAATTATTCAAAAACACCAATAACTTCTTTTTTAATTAATATTTAATCATTATTATTTTTCCATAGGAATTGGGATTTTCAAAAATTTTTAATTTAAACCTTTTGAAATTCAATAACTTTTAAGAATTTTATTATAAAATAGCTCGATATCTTCATGTTTTATAATAATTTAAACTTACAAAAAATGTTTCAAAAAAATTAAATTATTTACAAACATTTTAATAAAATCCTTCCGGTAAGAATTCAATTATTTTTATAAATAATACAATTGTTCACATCAATTGAATTATTTAAAAATTTTTTTTTAAATTCTTTGTAAGAATTCAATTTTTTTCATAAAAATAATTAAATGTATTCTATAGGATTAAATTATTTTTAATACAATTTTAAATTAATTCTTCGAAAAATGTAATTATTTTCAAACATTTTTTGCAAGAATTCAATTACATTTCACAAATATAGTGAAATTCTTCGCTGAAATTCAAATATTTTCAAAATCTACTTTTTTAATAAAATTTCTCAAAAGAATTCAATTATTTTCATAAATAATAAAATTCATCACAGGATTTCAATTATTTAAAAAAATTTAATAAAATTCTTCACTGGATTTCAATTATTTTTAATACAATTTTAAGTAAATTCTTCGAAAAATGTAATTAATTTGTTTACAATTCAATTTTACGAAATTTGGATTATTCAGAAATTCTTCAATTAAATATTTAGAAAATAAAAACTTGAAATAATTTTAAAAAAATAATATGTACAATTAAACTTTTTCAAAATACAATTATTTCTAAAAATTCATATTATACTATAATGCTTTTAATATTCAATCATTATTTAAATAATTTTTAAATAATTAATTATTATAATTTATTATTAATAATTAATAATTAAATAATTGAATGTTTCTTAAAATTGAATTCTTATATAAAGAATTTTCAACAAATTGTTAAAATTGTATAAAAAATAATTGCAATTCTATGATGAGTTTTATTATTCATATGAAAATAAAATTGAACCTCTGTAAAAATTTTATTATTTATGAAAATAATTGAATTAGATTTTTATTTTAATTACTAAAAAATATTTTTTTGAATCTTTCTTTAAAAGCTGTTTTATTATTTGTAAGTTTTATAATTCTAAATTAACATGATCAATGAATTTAATGTATAAATAAATCAAATAAATAAAATGTTTGGTAAAGTAATATATATTTTCACTATGTATATAAGTTTCTACACCAACACTGGTGTCTTCATCAGGTGATTACATTTTCTAAATCATAAAATTTCTGCTTTAAAAATTAAAATTGATTTAGTAACATAATGACCCCTATGGAGGTTGACATGTATATTTCAGAAAATCTACATTATTTTATTATTATCGCTTTACTTTAATTTTTACACATGTTCTACGATAAAATAAAACAATATAAAAATAAAATTTAAATTTTCAGTTGGCGATTCTACGTGTGATGTAATTGTTTTATGACATTTTTGTGCTAAAGAAACTATAAAGATTAAATGTTCATAAACTCATAAAATAATTGCATTATGATTAAAATTCGATCGACTCGATTACTTGTGAAAATCTGATTTATTTTATGTTTGAATTGAATTTTGCCTTTATTTTGTTAATTATAATCATTTGAACTAAATAATAATTAGTTGATGCTTCGTCGATTTTTTATTATTACTTGAAATATTTTTTAAATTTCAAGATACTAGACAAAATAACATTAATGGGACGTACTTTTAATGAATTGTAATCTATTCGTTTTTGTATACTATTGAAAAGAAAATAATTTTTTTTAATTCTTTTTAATGCCTCAGTTGAAAATGCTTATAAATATGCCATTTGAGTCATTAATCCCTTTGAATACAAATTTGTTGATTTTTGTAAAATGTTTTTGTCCAAAAGAAATCCCCTAAAACATAATAAAACACTTTTTAATCGTTTTTTAATCCCCTTGATGGGAAGTAATAAATATTTATAACAGCGTTGAATTTTTTCAAAATAAACTGTAGAATTATTGAATTGTTTAACATTAATAATTTTTATTCGTTAATATTGCAGTATTTTTAAAACACTATACTTTTAATAATAATTATTAATAGTATTTATTTTTTTTGCAATAATGTAATTTCGTAATTAGTGGAAACTTTAAAGTTCTATTATTAATTAGTGGAAAAAATTATATTGTAAAAGTGAAATAAGTATTTCGTTTGAAAGGAATATTGTCAACTTTACATAATATTAGAGATTTCTGTGAAATTTAATGGAAACATTAATATTTTAAAGACTACAATGAAAGTAATTAATTTAAACTATTCTGTTGCTTGAAAATGAAAATATTAAACGGAATACATGGATTGATTGATTAATTTCATGTCCTCGATTTATTACTTTTTCGAAATTGAAAGTAATTCAGATTTAACTTTGTCATTCTGAACTATGAATTCTAAAAAGAATGACATAATCAAAAAAATAATATTATATAATAATTTTTCAGACAAGAAGTAAAAGTTTTTAAAATATTAAAAATTTGTTTTCACAATATTTTTTACAAATAAAAACTTCTTCTTTGCTCTTAACCACTCTAAACGTTTAAATGTGATTACAATAAATTTATTATTGACAGTAAAATTTGAAATTATTGAAAAATATTTCGTGTTGAAGTTGGAATTATTTAATTAATTTACAGAAACTGCAGCCGTGTAGAAATTT